ACTAGGTAGGAAGATCAAGAATTTGATGCCAGCTTGGGCAGTATAATAAGACCAAGTCTGAATAAATAAATTTTTACAAAATGTTAACTTTTACAAAAGCTTGTTAAGGTTATAGTTAATATTATGCTGAATCTTTAGGCTGTCTTAAGTAACGTTGACATTATGACAACATTGACTCCTATAACATCCATGATGTGTATCTTTGTATTTGTAGGTCTTATTTAATATCTTTCAGTAATCTTTAAGACGTTTTGGGGGGGTCTATTTGTTTGAGATAGGGTCTCCTGTGGCCTACTGGCTTCAAAGTTGTTATAAGCCAAGGATAACCTTAAATTCTTGATCTTCCTGCCACCACGCCCAAGTGCTGGAATGCTTAGCTCTTTCTAATGAGAAAAATGTGGAAATTTTTAGTTCGCTTCAGTTTTGATGTGTTGGTGATCAAACCCAAGGTTCCACACATGCTTGGTAAACATCCTACCATTGACCCACATTCCCACCCTGAAGACTCTTCATTACACATTTATTACACATTATGGCTTTGAATTCTATTTTGTAATTATCTTCTGCTATAATATAAAGTTGTAATTTATTTTGTGCATTGGCCCTCTACTTTTAGGATTATCTATGTAAACAATCCTGTTTGTTGCAAATAAAGACAGCCTACTTCTTTACTTCCAACCTTTAATCCTTTTATTTTCTTGAAGTATCACACTAGCTAACAACCTCCATGTAAGGTTGAATAGAAATTCTAGAAATGAACAGCCATTCCTGTTTCTTAATTTTAGAAGTGAAATAGTCACTATTCGTTACTGTATGTTAGCTGTGGGTTTCGTGGATGTGCTCTATCGGTCTGAGGTCTCATCTACTTTCAGGTATTTCAAAAGTTTTATGAAGAATGGGTGTCAAAATTTGTCATGTGCTTTTTCTGCGTCCTCTGAGATGATTATGTGACTTGTTTCCTTTATTCCGAGATTATTTTTAATTACACTAATTTTCAATGTCATTGCCACTGCTGAATCTCACTTGCTGATGTTTTGTTCAGGGTTCTTGTGTGCTCACGGCTACATCCACCTGTCATTTCCTTGAACATCTTTGTCAAGCCATGATATTGAAGTTATGCTAACCTTATCAGATGAATTGGAAATTTTTTCTTCTTTATTTTTTGGTGTTTGTTTGTTTAAGAAGGGTCTCCCTGTAGCCCCAGCTGGCCTGGAACTCCCTATGTAGACCAGGCTGGCCTCGATCTCACAGTGATCTGCCTGCCTCTGCCTCCTGAGCTCTGGGATCAGAGGCATGCACCACCACTCCCAGCTCTTCTCTATATGCAATACTTTATGCAAGGTTTTTTTTCTCTCCTTAATTTTTAATAACATTCACAAGGGAAATGATCTTGGAATGGAGTTTTCTTTGTGGAAAATTTTTGGTAATTCCATTTCTTCAGAAAATACATATTCAATTTTTCTATTTCTTCCTCGTGATTTTTCCCTTTTTTCTGCTTCTTTCTTTTCTGTTTCTGTTTCTTTTGTGGGCGTATGTGTGTATGTAAATGTGTGCATGCCTGCCTGTGCAGAGGCCAGAGCTGACATGACTGTCCTCCTCTGTTGCTTTCTACCTTGTGTTTTGAGACAGGGGCTCACTGAACCTGGAGCTCAACAATTGGCTAAACTAGCTGGCCAGTGAGACCCAGGGAACCTCCTGTCAGTGCCTCCCCAGTGCTGGGATACAGATGCACATTACCATGCTCTGCCTTTTACATGAGTGCTGGGGATTGAACTCACATCCCCATGTTTGCATAGCAAGCACTTTACCCACTGAGCCATTTCACCAGCTGTGATGGTTTTTTTTAATATTTTGTTTATTATTTTTATTTTATGTATATGAGTGTATTACCTGCATGTGTGTAAGTGCACCTATGTCATGCAATGCCCATGTAGGTCAGAAGAAGGCTTTGAATTCCCCTGGAATTGCAGTTACAGACAGTTGTTAGCTGCCATGTAAACGCTGGGACTCAAACCCGGGTCCTCTGCAAGGGTAACCAGTGCTCTTAACCACTGAGCCATCTCTCCAGCCCCCTGTATTGATTTTTATAAGTTGTGCTTTTCAAATAATTTTCTCATTTCACTTGTTATTGATACTGGCACATGACTGTCCACAGCATTTCCCAACTGTCATTGTATCTGTAGGATTGGTAACGAGAGCCCCTCTTTTAACTTTGTATTGGTCATTTGTATTGTCCCTCTTTTATTAATCAGTTTCTCTTGGGTTTATCAATTTTATAAAACTTTTCAAAGAACTTTTTTTCACTTTGTTAAAAATCCTTTAGTTTATTTTTCCAATATTTTTGTTAATTTTATATTTCTTATTTCCTTCTACATACTTTGGGTTTAATTTCCTTTTCTATATTTTAAGGTAACTATTTGGGTAATTAATTTTAAATCTTCCTTCTTTTGTAATATTATCAAATTAAAATGATTAATCTAATTAATCTCTTTCTAATCACCACTTTATCTGCACCTCACAAATTTTTAAGGTACTATTGAATTTTGATTAAAATTCAATTAGAACACACACACACACACACACACACACATATAACCATAGAGATCAAACCCATGGTCCTAAGAAAGCTGGAAAAGTGCTCTGCCACTGAGCTACATCTCCAACCTAGAATATTTTCTGATTTTTTTTCAAGTTTCTTCTTAACCAAAGACATTAAAGATATCTACAATGAAAATTTTAAATCTTTGAAGAGAGAGATTGAGGAAAACACTAGAAAATGGCAAGACCTCCCATTCTCATGGATTGGTAGAACTAATATTGTGAAAATGACCATCCTACCAACAGTTATTTATAGATTCAATGCAATCCCAATCAAGGTTCCCATGACATTCTTCACAGAAATAGGAAAAAAAATCCTAAAATTCATACAGAATCATGAAAGGCCCCAGATAACCAAAGCAATTCTGAGCAAAAAGAGCAATGCTGGAGGGATTACCGTACCAGACTCAAACTATATAACAGAACTATATTATTAAAAACAGCATGGTACTGGCACAAAAACAGACATGTAGATCAAAGGAACAAAATAGAAGACCCAAATGTGAGTGTATACAATTACAGCCACCTTATATTTGCCAAAGATGCCAAAAACACACACTAACAGAAAGACAGCATCTCAAACAAATGGTGCTGGGAAAACTGGATCTCCACGTGTAGAAGAATGAAATTAGATCCATATCTACTACCATGTACAAAAATCAATTCCAAATGGATCAAAGACCTCAATGTGAAACCTAAAATGCAGAAACTGTTAGAAGAAAACAGGCAATAACCTACAGATATAGGTGCAGGAAAGGACTTCCTAAATCAGACTTCATTTGCTCAGGAATTAAGGTCAACAATTGACAAATTGGACCCAATTAAACTAAAAAGCTTCAGTACAGCAAAAGAACCAATGAATCAAATGAAGAGGAAGCCCACAGAGTGGGAGAGAATCTTTGCTAGATAAGCATCTGCAAGAAGATTAATTTACAGAATATACAAAGAACTCAAAAATAATCAAGAAAACATATGACCCATTTAAAAACTGGGCCACAGATCTGAACAGAGAGTTCTCAAAAGAAGAAAAAAGTGGCTACGAAATACCTTAAAATGTATTCAGCAACCTTAGGAATTAGGGAAATACAAATTAAAACTTATTTAAGGTTTCATCTTACCCCTGTCAAAATGGTAAGATCGAGAAAATAAATGACAACAAATGCTGGCAAAGATGTGGAGAAAGGGGAACCCTCATTCACTGCTGGTGGGATTGCAAACTGGTGCAACCACTCTGCAAATCAGTGTGAATGCTTAAAAAACTAAAAATAGATGTAACATGTGATCCAGCTTTACCACTCGTTGGCATGTACTCCAAAGACTCGGGACTCAATATCTTACTAGAGAGATACTTGCTCAGCCATGTTTGTCACTGTTCTTTTACAATTACTAGGAAATGAAAACAACCTAAATGTCCCCCAACCAATGAATGGATAATGATAATGTGGTATATTCAGTGGTAAAGAAAAAATGAAATTATAAAATTTTAAGGTAAATGGATGGAACTAGAAACTGTTATACTAAGTGCAGTAACAGACTCAGAAAAACAAGTGATGCCTGTTCTCTCTCATTTGCGGACCCCAGCTCCAAACCCTTTGATATAAGGTTTTTTTGCAACAGATGGAGACTATTACAAAGCTCCACAACTGGTAAAATGCAGAGAATAAGTGACTGTGAGGTGCCCAGCCCTAAGTGACACATCTACAACCTAGCGCTCAGGGAACATCACAGAAGAGGGGGCAGAAAGAATGTAAGAGCCAGTGGGACAAGACACCTGCTGCTGGTTACTGTGTTCTAGACATGATGGGGAAGCTGCACCAGCACAGTCTCCACAGTGTGGGAATCCAGCAAGATCCGCATAATGACAAAACCAGTGGACATACCAAGGTTATTTCCAAGGAATAAATAAATCTCACGGAGTCCCACTCAAGATGAAGAGCTACAGGCAATAAATGGATGCTGAGGGAAGGAGAACCCATTTTTTCCAGGGACCAGATCCTGAGACATTATCTAATCCCAAGTGTGCAGTCCTAAACACAGGTACACACAAGTACTACTAAATGGATTCAGTATATTATATATATTATATTTGTAAGTGTATGTATATGCAACAATAATAAGAGGACAAGAAATTGAGAGGGAGTCAGGGGACATGGGAGGAGCTGGTAGGGGACTGGGAGGGATGGAAATAATGCAAAGACATACTCATTTCAAATATGAAATGCTCGAAAATAAAAAATTAAAATTAAAAAATTTCTTCTTGAGCTATAGTATTGATATTATTTTATTCACAAATATGTTACTTAAATAATTTATTGATGTCGAATTTATTTCCATTTTGTTCACAGAACAAATTCTAAGATTTTAATATTTGAAACTTCAAAAAAATAAGTGACTAGCTTTTAAAAAGTGAAAGGTGGCCGTCACAGAAGTGGAGCTGGGGGAGGAAAAGGTAAATTCCAGCAGGGTCCGTGATGGAAGGCAGACAGAAGGAGTTTATATTGGACCTGGGTATTGAAAAGAAGCAAAGTTGGAGAATAAGAAGATAGAGGAACAGTAAGGCAGCAAAAGAGACATTAGAGTCAACTTTCTTTAAAAGGCGTGAGGAGCCCGGCGTGGTGCTACACGCCTTTAATCCCAGCACTCGGGAGGCAGAAGCAGGCGATCACTGTGAGTTCGAGGCCAGCGTGGTCTCCATAGTAAGTCCAGGACAGCTGGGGCTACAGGGAGACCCTGTCTCAAAAAGAGTCCCCCCAAAAAGGAGTGAGGAACTCTGATGATCTCCCAAAGCACTGTTGGGAAAATCAGCACAGATTCATGGCTCTAAGATACTCCTTAACTTACTTTTGCTGATGTTTACAGACAAGGTCTCAGGAGGCTGGCCTCAAACTTACTGTACAGCTGAGGATGACCTTGAACTCCTGATCCTCCTATCTCTGCCTTCCAAGTGCTGGGATTACAGGCATATGCACCATGCCCAGTTCCCTATGTGGCTCTTAAGCAACTGTTCCTAAGCAACCACTTAAGACATTTTGAACTCTGGATATGACCACCTCCTGTTTCAGTATCTGAAGCAGAACCATATAGTGTAGCATCAAGAAAGGTCCAATTTCACAACTGAGAAACAATTTCTCTTGTTTTTAGGTCCTCACCGTTCTGCAGCCACGTTCTCTACCTACAGATCTAAGAGTTCGGGGAGAGGGACACACTGGGCAGTCTGCATTCCCAGTCACAGAACTTCCTTTCTGGGAAGTCTCAAATCACCAGTGACATCACTGGAGAAAAGCTTTACTTGTCTCCATAGTCCTTTACCAAGTGAGGTTCTTGAAATGGTCATAGGCAGGAGGCAAGTACCTCTGTGGACCTATGTCATTTGAAACAGCTTCGAGCCAGAGCCCTCTGGGTGAAGGATACAAGTCAATTGAAGCCCAGACCATGTTTCTTCAGCCATAGCTCAGATCTACAGGAGTCTCTGGGAGTTCATAGTCGCCATCCCAGAGCTCCAGGGCAGAGATGGTGGTTCCCCCTTCCTATTCCTGGGAACAGAGTATTGTCTATGGAAGTTCATCAAGTGGATGAACTAGGCTGGGCTGCCTAACACAGTGAGGCGGCCTTTACCTAAGCCTCCCCTAAGAGGGGGGACTGCTGCTCTTGTCTTTGGTAGTTCTGGGGGTTGAGTTCCCAGTGTGGAAAGGTTGGTTCAAATGTTTTCTGAGACCCGCTCTGCTGTGCTCACACCCACATGCCCACCTAAGTGTAGTAGTCCTTCGAGCCCTACCAGATGCCATGGGTTTGGTTCTCCCACAGACGTCCTGAGAGGAAGGGGGGTGAAGGCCCGACCTGGAAGAAACAAGAGCCCTTAATAGCTAAGTTTGAAAAGACCAAGAAGCAGTATTGAGTAAAATGAGTCTACCAAGACCTCCAATTTCAGGCACAATCAGCTACTATTGCTTTTGGCCAGAAAAGAGTAATCCAAAGTCGGGTTGGGGTGGAGGGGGGGCTGCGTCTTCTGTGGGTCTCATGAAATGTATGGAAAACATTGGCTTGATGTCTCATTTGGCCTAGCTGAAGTCAGTGTCCTGTAGCAGAGGCTGTACGTGGGGCACAATAAACAAACAGGTCTATGTGTGACACATTTCAGCCACGTGTTTAAAATGAAACTGGCCCCAAGGACTCCACCTCCCTCAAGGGGCCCCTCCCTGACTGCTGCAACCCTGCTCTCATTCCCCCCTCCAAGAGGGCAAGGAGGATGACATTCCCCCCTAGGATGCCCCTCTTCAGAGACAGCCTGATGATTTCATGTAAGACACAGACGTGAGGCTAGGGTGTAGCTCAATGCTAAAGCGCAGGACAGGTGTTCCCCAGGGCCATGGTTCAACCCCAGTCCTGCAAGACAGAGTGAGAGAAGTGAGGAACGTAGAGGTTCAAACACAGATAGTGTGGGAGAGCAGCAGGTACTCGGGATGAATCTGGTTGGGAAGCTTCCAAAGCTGCCAGGTCAGTTTTTAAACACTGGACAGAGACTGGGCATCTAGGCATCATCCTCAAGGGAAGAGAGCAGAAGTATGGGAAGGCTCTGGGCTGGGACCTCTGCATTTGGCATGACTGAATCTTAGAGAGTTTCGTGACAAACACTTCTACCTGAAGCCCATGCCTGTTCCCGTGTCACCTTGTCATACTATCCTACTGCTTCTTCTCTGCTTTCCTCTCTTCGTACAGGGAGGACTGATATTTGTGGTGTGAGGTTAGAAGCCATTAAGGCTGAGGCTGGGATCTAGAAAGAGATACAGGTGAATAACCAAGCAGGCCTTTCAGTGTATGTCTGTGGAGGGAGAGAAAAAGATGCTGGTGACCAGAAGGCCCAGAAGCTCCTTGCAATGCTTCCTGCAGATTCGGATAATGCATTTATAAGCCAAGCCAAACACTACACTTTAAAGGCATGCCCCAAATGTAATATGTCCCACAGGTTGGGTAAAGTTGGTATCACACTTGCTTGAGATATTTCTAGCATCTTCGCAAATGCACCTAGAGCAATAACTATTACAACAACCTCACCGAAACAGGAGTGCCCCAGAGTTCTCCACCCTCCACTTCAGGGGTTAAGCTTCATGCATGAGCATACATTCCTGACATTAGAACTCCTTCCTTGTGTGTGAGATGCTTGGGCTCCAGTATAATTGCTGTGCATTTAAGTTCCCAAATGTGATTATATAACCTTGATTCAGTTAATTAACAGGTCTTTCTTGATTCAAGCCTTGCCCAGGAATGAGCCAAATAGTCATCTGGATAATAATTAGAACAAGACAAACCAGCCTTGCCAGTTTCCAGTGCTGGGGATGGAAAGAATTTCTGAGTCATCAGATGGAGCTGACGCTCTAGAGACTCAACTCCCAAGGCTGTGGTCACTTGCTCAGTGCATGGGCCTGTGGTTCCTCACCAGTGGCCAGGCAGGGTTCTGAACATTAGCACTGCTCTCTGTCTCCAGCTGAGCAGGTGAAGTGGAGTTCAAGACAGATGCTGCTACTAGCCCTACAACTCTGGCTCAGTGCAAAGGACTGTGAATCCAGTCTAGGACGCCCTGACGGTTTTCATACCCCTTGGTCTCTGTGACAGGAAGGTCACCACCTTCTCTAGGGATGGATGGCTTCAGCTAAGATGGCTTCTCCCTTGTCTTGATCCCTAATCCAATTTCCTACAATTTTTACTCAAAGACCCTCTTATCCTTATGCCTCCAGTGTTGTTTCTTCACTTCTTTGACTCTACTCCCTGAAAATAACTTTTGGACCCCAAGGAACTACCCTCACCAAAGTCTGTCAGTTAGGAAGAGTCTTAGGAGATCCAGTCACGGCATCTGCTCTAACTTCTGAGCATCACCACAGCTACAGATGCTGTGAGGGTCAGAGGAGGTAGAGAGCTCCATGCTTTGCTGTATAAATCATTTTGATGCTAGGAAAAATTAGAAGGGAAAATGAAATCAATATTTTAATCAAAGCTCTTGCTGTTATAGTCACATGCATATGGGAGAATCTGAATTGTTTCTGAGTCTTGTATCAAACTGACAGTACCATTTATAATTAGTTTGCTAATGGCATTGTACAACTTTCATATATTACAGACAGATCCTACTGAGGGCTGGTTTGGGGAGGGGAAGCCAGATACCTAGTATGCTGACTAAATGTTCAATACCCAGAGATTAGAGCTAATCACAGAGCATACAAAGTCATAGCCCCTGTGATTCTGTACTGTGGAAAGTTGTGCACCTGCCTGTTTTGGCAACTAGACTGTGGTAACAAGAAGTGTACCTCCTCCAACACTGTGCTCTCAAAGTTGGCATACTGTGAGTTTCCAGCAATGTTTATTGAATAATTCATAAGCGACCTTGACTCCCTGGTTGGGTTAACACTTCAGAGGAGTTGATTGGCAGTGTGTTCCTGCTTGCCCCTTGCACCAAGAGTCTCAGCACACTGGCACTCAGAAGCAGATGTATCCTGGACAGCAACTCCAAACCACAGATCTGGAGGTGATTTCTACCTAAGAGAATGGCTTGTTTTGAAAAAAGCTTGGAAGCCAGGCATGGTGACGCAGGCCTTTAATCCCAGCACATGGGAGGCAGAGGCAGGCAGATCTCTAAGTTCAAGGCTAGCCTGGTCTATGTAGCAAGTTCAAGGCCCACCAGGGCTATACAATGAGACCCTGTCTAAAAGAAAACAAAAGTTATCCACAGAGCAATTAAAAATAATGAACTCCCAGGCTGACAAGATGGCTCAGCAGGTAAAGACACCTGCTGCCAAACCTGTGTTCAATGGTGGAAGGAATGAACCGGCTCCCGCAAGTCGTCCTCTGACCTCTTCTGTGGTACATGCCCCCCTACCCACACACTCATAATAGAAATAATAAAATGTAATAAAAGTTTTAAAATAACTAATTCCCTTCCAACAACCCAAGCAATCCACTTTACAAACCTTTCATCAGCAGCTGAACGCATGTGCAAACTGTGTGTGCTCCTGTGATGAATGAGATGCCTGAGCTTAGCCAAACTCAGGGATCAACCTTGAAAACATCCTACCCCCGTCACTTTTCCCCTGACAAGATCTCATGTATCGGAGGCTGGCCTGAAATTCACCAGGTAACTGAAGATGACTTTGAACTTCTGATCCTCCTGCTTCCATCTCCCAAGTGCAAGGATTATGGGCATGTACCACCATGCCAGTTTATGTGGTACTGGGGACGGAACAAAACACCTCATGCAGGCCAGGTAAGCATTACCAACTGAGCGACATCCCCAGTCCCTTTGTTACCCATTTCTGTTGTCGAATGTCATCACATCAAGAGGCAGAGGAAAAGAAAGAAAGACTTGGGGCAGTAAGTTAAGCTCCTTTTCATATCCTTGAGCTCCACACAGGCTGGTATGTAGCCATGAAAGTGCAGGGCTTCTGACCTTGGAGCATATGAATTCCAGTAATGCAAATCCAGGTTGCTTTGAATCACAGCAAGGCCCTGCATTTCAGTGTTGCTATGCAATCATAACACCATGCAGGAGGCGTTTTTCAGGTCATAGAGCTAAAGTTGGCAAAGTCACAGAGAAGTGAGGAGTGGGGCTTCTAACCCAAGCAGACTGTACCCACAGAGGATGGAGACCCCCAGACCACACAGGTCTGAGAGAGCGGCACCCTTGTCCTTAGAATCTTGGCCAGGGCAACTGCTCTCTTCAGGCTTTTCACAGCACATCTGTCAGCCCAGAATGAGTTTGTCTTCCATTTGTAAATTACTTAGGGAAACATGCCTTGGTATCTCATTCTACTGTCAGAGCCGTGAAGAAGCAGCTCTCACAGGGGTAGAGTGCCGGGGAAGACCTGTGGCCGGTGACACCCTCTGCTACCACCTCCCGCCCCATCCTGTGCCTTCTTCTGCATACGGGGTCCATGGGACAAGGGACAAACCACAGTGATTCTGGTATCTCTAAGCTGCAATCCTGTCCTTACAGGTGTCTGATAGACACCTCAGCTTCAAGATACCCAAAGTCTATGAGTGAAAAAGAAGGAAGATTTGTCAGAAATCATTATCTACAAACTAAAAGGAGTGTCACCGTGGGAAAACAGCATCTTTAGGTGGTTTCCCCTCTGGCTTCATCTGGAAAGAGCCAGCTATGTGACATCAGGGGTGACCCTACTGTGGCCAGGGCAGTCCTGCCCTCTAGGAAGGAAGGAATGAGGCTGGAATGCAGTGGGTTAGTTTATTCACTCCTGAGGGAGGAAACGTGGTAACTGATAGTTTGATCTCTCCTCTCCCGTGCAGAACCCTGGCCTCATCTACCCTTCCCGCCTCTTCCCCATGCTTTGTCCCTATTGTGTCCTCAAACCCTTCCTCAAACACCTTACACACTTAGACACTGTTAACGCTTTGTTCTCCCTTCTCTCTGAAAGAAGTTTCCTCAGTTCTTTCTTAGCACCTACACCTAACTCAGTTGTCACCTTCTTTGTTAAAATATGTCTACTAAATTATTTCTTTTAATATATTATTTTTATTTTATGTGTATGAGTGTTATGCCTGCATGTAAGTACGTGCACCCGTGTCGTGCAATGACCACGGAGGACAGAGAGGCTGTCGGCTCCCCTGGAGCTGGAGTTACGGACAGTTGTTTGCTGCCATGTGGATGTTGGGATTCAAACCCAGGTCTTCTGCAAGAACGGTCAGTGTTCTTAACCGCTGAGCCATTGCTCCAGCCCCGGTTGTCACCTTCTTTTTAAAATCTATTTATTTATACTAACTTATTTAATTCATTATTTATAATTTATATGTTGTGTGTAAGACAGTTTGTGTGTGCTGTGTATATACAGTACCTGCACACATGTATGTCGGTGCATGTACTCAGGCGTGCACACAGTGGCCAAAGGAGGACATGGAGTGTCCTGCTCTATCACACTGTACCTTATTCCCTTGAGACAGGGTCTCTAAGTGAACCTGGAGCCAGGCTAGTAGCTAGCAAGCCCCAGTGATCCTCCTGTCCCGACCCTCCCACACACAGCACTGGGGTTAAAAGCATGCCCACGGTCATGCCGTGTTTTAGATGGGTGCTAGGGATTTGAACTTAAGTTCTCAAACACTCTTACTGTGCCACTGGCCTAGTCCAGTTGTTATCTCTTGCTGACATTTGCCATAACATGTGCAGTAAAATGGATTGTCCCTCACCTGAGCTCTCACAGCACTTCGTAGGTTGCTCCCTTGCATAAGGGCTGTTTGTCCACATGCTCTTTGTCCTAGCACAGCTCCAGGGCCCGGAATATAGAAAGGAGAACCACAAAGGTTGCTGGAAAGTGACCACAGTGGTAGAAGATGTTCCTTTTGCTCTAAGGAGGTCCTAGGCAGCTCCCTGGGGCCAACGATAGAGGACAGGCTCCTGAGTGACAGGACCATTTCTCTCTTCAGTGGGACTCAGCTCATGTTCACCAGCTCTAGGGCATAGAGGCGATTCAGAGGGCAGAATTTGGCTTGGAGATTCAGTGATTGCTTTGAAGGATATCAGTGATGGGGAGACGGGATCACTATTTCTGATCTGGGTAACCAAGATATTTATTTAATTCTCTCTAAGGTACAATATCCTCATCTATACAAATTAAGAAATAATACATACCTTGTATAGTCGTCAAGATTCGTAACTACTAATCACTGGATGTAGTAGAGCGCCAAGGGCTCCACTACAAATATCACTCTATGGGAAGTAACAGAGACAGTCAGAACTTGAACTTGTATAGCAAATGAAAAGGACATTCAAAATTGCCAAAGACTGCCCAAATGTTATTGTTAGGTATTTTTAGAGCTCAAAAACCTTTGTCCTCTTGGAAACTGAAACTGGAAAAAGGGGTTTTGTTGTTGTTGCTGCTGTTGTTGTTGCTGTTGCTGCTGTTGCTGTTGTTGTTTTGTGGGCTAGTGTTAAGTATCCACTATAGGAAGTACAAAGGTGAAGACGTGGTAAGGATGACTAGGTTAGTTATAGATCAACAAACTGTACCTCGCCCTCTACAGACTGCATTGGTTATGAGAAATGACTGTGCAACCAGCCAGAGATTGCATTTCCTGGTCCCCTTGCATGTAGGTGGGATTATGCAATGTGTTCACGCTGAGATGTGATAGGAAACAGGTGTCACTTGCAGGTCAAGATGGTTAAGAAGAGGGTGTGACTGGATGAAAGGTAGAAGCAACTAGTGTCTATCAATCAATGAATGGATAAAGAAAGATGGTGCTAAGTGAAGCCAGCCAGTAACAGAAGGACAGATACCGTGTGATTCCTACAAGGAGACAGAGCAGTCAGATTCACAGGGACAGAAGGCAAGGGTGGTTGCCAGGGGCTGTGGAAGGGGAAGTGGGGAGTTAGTGTTCAGTGGATAAAGTTTTAGTCAGAAAGATGAAACAGTGTCAATATATTAAATGCTCCTGAACTATATATACTTTAAATGGTTAAAATGGCAAATTTTATGTTATGTATATTTTGCCACACTGAAGAATTAGAGTAAGTTGTGACTTCTGTATACCTGCCAGTTAGATGCAGAGAACTTGGGCTGTAGGATGAAGGAGTCAGAGGATGGAGGTCACCTATGACAAATTACCAGAGGGCAAAAAGCCGTCATTAACTTAGATTTTGAACTTGGACTCTGATTTGAGTGGCAAGTAGTTCTCTAACACATTAGGTCATCGACGCTAGGGCTCAGTATGTTGCAGCATTTAGTAATACCATAACACAGACCTTCGGCTGATGTTCTGGCTGACTTCACAGCATGGTGACAGTGCAAGTCAGTCCCTAGACGGGATAGTTTCAAAGCTGCCTTGGTCTGGGGCTGAGGTGGCATCTGTGCTGAGGGTCCACCTTCAAATTCAGTAGTTCTCAAGGTTGAGAACTTGGAGGGACACCCAGAGGAGTCATCTCTTGCAGGAAAGCTTAGGGAAAGGGGAACTGTGGCCCTCGGTCTGTGAGGGGCAGTCATGACAACTGTCTGCCTGAACATGTCCTGGGGACATGGCTCTGTGGATCCATTTGAGTGGCAGTCCTTTAGCTGACCATGGCCTTGGGATAGGAGAGGGATAGTCCTGCCTTGTGCTTAAAGTATAATTACCAGTGGGACTGCCGCCGGCTGTGACCCGAGTCAGCCATAAACTCCAGGACACTTTGTGATGTGCTAACAGGCTCTGGAGATGGCAAAGAAAAGGTGGACCACTCACTTCATCTTCCTTTGTGCCCCTGTCTCTTGGAGTTCTTGGGGTCAGTTCTCTACCTTCCTGAAGAAGGCGTCTCTCCCACTCTAGGCTAACATTTGTCTTTTCCTTCAGTGAGAAGTGAAGACAGAGGTATCCTGCCTGGGTTCTGAGCCCTATTTAAGGAGAGCCGCTTTGGCTGCTCTGACATTTTTCACATTCTCAGCCTGGGTCTCGCACAAAAGCCAGCTAATAAATGTCTGATGCCAGTCTTTGAAATGGTTCCCCTGCCACTTCCAGGGACCTGGTCCCTGGGCTGATGCTGAGCAGCAGCCCCACCCCCTGCCTGACCCAGGTGAGGCCCAGATGAAGATAGAAACCCTTAGGAAAGGGAGGCCTCCAATTGGAGGCTGACTCAGAGCTGCCAAGCCAGAATCCCAGTCCCTTGCATGACGCATGCATAGGATGACTCACCTGGCTCCCTGTCAGTGCTCACCATCGTGAGAGTCCCACTCACTAAGCCATGGGAATATTTTCCATTCTCCCCAGCCCTTGAGTGGATCAGCATCTGTGGAGACTTGAGGTCATTCAGAGATCAGCCATCTCAGTCTCTCCTGTACCTCTTGCCCTTTTGCTGTCACTGGGAACTGCCAACCTATTTCTGACACGGGAGCAAGGCCACACGGAGTCCACATGGAATGACTGTAAGGAAGTGGGGGCTCTTCATGCATGGCAAAACGGAGCTGACGGGCTCTAACCTCAGGTCCACTCACCTAGAAAGTTCAGGCCTCCAGGGTACCTGCACATTCCCAGGTGGGGACCAACGGCTGAGGTGCTGGTGGGTATCACCTCCAGCTGGATTCCTTCAGTTTCAGTCATTTTGCCATCCTGTGTTCATTGCTCCAGTTCTGCACCCAGATGGGGAATTTGGTCTTTGCACTGATTTCCACCAAACTAAACCAAGACTTTTGCACAGGTAGCATCCTCTGCCAGGACTGCTTAGGCCAAGAGGGTTTAACTGTAGCAGTGCAAACTTCAAATGGAAGTCATGATCCTCTTGGAGGTCACCCCACCTCTAGAGATTTCCCAGGAGTTGAATCATTCCATGTTGCTGACCCAGATCATGATTCTCTACAGTGTGGATCATAAACTGCTTGCACCAAAAGCAATGTTATAGGAGAGAGGGAAAGAGGGAGGAGGAGAAGGGGGGCAGAAAGCATGTAAGAGAGGTGGGGTGTAAATGTGAATCAGTATAACTCACCTAAACAAAAGTTATTTGGAGTCCTTAATAATATTTAAAAATGTAAAGCAGTGGTGCATGCCTTTTGTCCCAGGACTTGGGAGGAAGAGGCAGGTGGATCTCTGTGAGATGGAGGCCAGCCTGGTCTATAAAGAGTAGAGTTGCAGGCTAGCTGGGGTTACAGGGAGACCCTGTCTCAAAAAGACAAAAAGGGGCCAGAGAGATGGCTCAGCCATTAAAAGTACTGGTTAATCTTGCAAAGGACCCAGATCCAATTCCCAGCATCCACACGGTGGCTAACAACCATCCATAACTCCACTTCCAGGGGATCCAACACCTTCTTCTGACCTCCTTGGGCACTGCATGAACAGGTACACACACACACATGCAAACAATACACCTATATACACAAAAGGAAAATAATAGATAAAATATATTTTTTTGGTCTTTTTTGAGACAGGGTGTCCCTGTAGCCCCAGCTAGCCTGGAACTCGCTACATAGACCAGGCTGGTCTTGAATTCACAGAGATTCGACTGCCTCTGCCTCCCAAGTGCTGGGACTAAAGGCATGTGCCACCACACCCGGCTAAAATAATAAAAAAAAATTTAATTTAAAAAAGGGGCCTGGAGAGATGGCTCAGTGGTTAAGAACACTGATAGAGAACTCAGGTTCAAGTCTCAGCACCCACATACAACTGATAACTGTCTGTAACTCCAGTTCCAGGGTTTTTCTGACCACCTCTGGTATTGCCAGACACGGGTACACTTACACACATACAGGCAATACACTCATACACGTCAAATAAGAATAATAAATTATTTCATGAATAAAACATTTTTTAAAAATAAAAATAAGGGGGCTGGAGAGATGGCAGTTAAGAACACTGGTTGTTCTTGCAGAAGACTCAGGTTCGAATCCCAGCACCCACATGGCAGCTAACAACTGTCAGTAACTCCAGTTCCAGGGGATCCGACGGCCTCGTCTGTTCTCCACAGACATTGCACGACACGGGTGCACTTACATACATGGAGGCAATACACTCATACACATAAAATACAAATAATAAATAAAATTTATAAAATAAAATAAAAAAGAATATAAAATAGTCCTGAGATTAAAAAAAAAACATTAAAGATTTGTGCTCTGTGACATTAAGCAGAAACACGCCTGCTGAGTATAGGTTTTGCACATCTGCAGCTTTCTTGTGGAATGCAGCAAGCTTTCCTAGTTATAACCATTCACACTCCACCATCAATGCAACCAAGATTCACCTTCCCTCAGAGCCCTCTGAGGGTCATGCCCTTATGAAGGTCCTCCCTCTGACATGGGTTTCCAGGTGGGCTTCTGAAGACTCCAGATCCACAATCTACTTCCTCAAACAAAGAGCTTCTTTGTTTCTGGAAGCCAGGATGAGGGAAGTTTAAACTCAAAGCTGTTGTCAAATGCCAAGAAACACACACACATACACACACACACACACACACACACACACACACACATACACCATGAAATAGCCCAGGGCTGGGGTCCTGAAAAGAGAAAGATTGCAACTGATGGTTTTAGTCTCATTTGGATGAAGTTAATTTTAGACTTTTTCACAGTTAAAAATAACTACTCCCTCCTCTCTGGTGTCCCCAGGGTCCTCCCTTGGGATCTCCACCCCTGAACTTGTCTCCCCATCAATCAGCCAGAGCAAGCAAGGGGCCTACAAACTCACATCCTTTATATCTTACAGCCCATAAAGCTCACAGAGGCCACTGTTAGGCCCTGGCACTAGTGGGGTGAAAGGGAGAACAAGTGAGTTCCCAGCCCATCCAGGAACCAGCTAGGAAGGCCTGCTCCTGCCTGGGAGACAAGAGTGGAGCTCACTTTCTATCTCATTATATCAAAGAATTCTCAGACAGAACTATGAATAGCTTATAAAATTCCTGTTCTGAACACACACACACACACACACACACACACACACACACACACACACGGAATAATTAAGTTCCCAGGAAGTACCTGGCTGTGTGTATAACAGCCTGAAAGGATTAAAAAGAAAACCCTCATGTTTCTGGAAACAGGTTCACTTCAGAGCAGAATCTTACCAGGGAAAACATGGCTGGGCATCCTGCTCCCTCTGATGCCCTCTTCCTTCCGCACAAATCCCCTGCTTCCGGATCAATCTGGCTGGAACTTGCTGTTCTCCTGGGAGGCCTGCCAGAGGCCTCCTATTTTCCAGAAAGCTTTTCTTTTATTTCTAAGCCGAGTTGTTTAAAACCGGATGTTGCACAGAGCTGGTGGGAGGAAAGACCTCTTTGCCTTCCCCATCACTATTCAGAACTGTAACCCAAGCCAGCCTCCTCTTCGGCGGGCACTGGCCCCAGGCCAGATGCCAGGGAAGCTTCACTAGCAACAAGGCTCCCCAAGGACTTTCAGCCATCCCCTCCCACAGCC